CAACCAATAAGTGTATAATACAGAAAGTAAAAACATTATGTTGTTTCACTTTTTTTTTTTTTGAGATGGAGTTTTGCTCTGTCACCCAGGCTGGAGTGCAGTGGCACTATCTCAGCTCACTGCAACCTCCGCCACCCGGGTTCAAGTGATACCCCTGCCTCACCCTCCCAAGTAGCTGGGACTACAGGTACCCACCACCACACCTGGCTAATTTTTTGTATTTTAGTAGAGACGGGGTTTCACCATGTTGGCCAGTTGGTCTTGATCTCCTGACCTCGTGATCCGCCTACCTCGACCTCCCAACGTGCTGGGATTATAAGCGTGCGCCACCGCACCCAGCTGTTATTTCAAAATTTTAAATTGATTTATGAAGCATACACAGACAAAAGAATATAAGTGCATAGGTATGAATGTATGTATGTGTATATATACATGTGTGTATGTATACTATGAAGTAGTATAATTAAACTAAAAATGTCACCATTTACATAGGAACTTCCTGTCTTCCCTTTTTTGGGCCATCCCTGTAACAAATCTCATTGTTAGATGAATTCTGTTCATTTTATCATTCGCCTCATTAATATTAATAAGTTGTGGACTTCAAGAGATTCTATGTAGTCATATCATCTATTAATAATGAAGCTGGGTTTTTTTTTCAATTCTATATGTTTCATTTATTTTCCTTTGTTTTGTGTTTTGCTAGAGCCTCCAATTTACTGTCAGCTAGAAGCAGGGACAGCAGGCAGCCTTGACTTATTCCTGAACTTAAAGGAAATGCTTTTAATGGCTTCCCACTCATAACGAATGCTGTAGGTTTAGGGTAGATGCTCTTTAATAGTTAAAGGAAGTTTCCTTTATTTCTAGTTTTTTTTTTTTGTTTTTCAAATAAGATGGGGTTTCACCCTGATGGCCAGGCTGGTCTTGAACTCCTGACTTCAGGTGATCCACCCACCTCGGCCTCCCAAAGTGCTAGGATTACAGGCGTGAGCCACTGCGCTCGGCATGTTGTTAATTTTTTTTTTTTTTTTGCAGGGCACAATGGCTTAGGCCTGTAATTCCAACACTTTGGGAGGTCGAGGAGGGTGGATCACCTGAGGTCAGGAGTTCAAGACCAGCCTGGCCAACATGGTGAAACCCCATCTCTCCTAAAAATACAAAATTAGCCAGGTGTGGTGGCATGTGCCTGTAGTCCTAGCTACTCTGGAGGCTGCTGGGAGGCAGAGGTTGCAGTGAGCCAAGATCACACCACTGTACTCCAGCCTGGACAACAGAATGAGAAAATCAAAAAATCTTGTTTTTTAAACCTCTAAATCTACTTTAATGTAAAATCTTACTACAGGCTTTTTCTACATCTGTTGAGATGAGATAATACGAGTTTTCATTTTTCATCTATGAGTGCTATAAATGACATTAATTATTATTATTATTTTAAGACAGGGTCTTGGTCTGCACTCAGACTGGAGTGCCATGGTGCAATCATAGCTCACTGTAGCCTCAAGCTCTGGTGCTCAAGGAATCCTACTTCTTCAGTCTCCCCAGGTAGCTAGGACCACATGCACACACCTCCACCACCTGATAATTAAAAAAATTTTTTTTGTATAAATGGGATATCAGGCTAGGTGCAATGGCTCATGCCTGTAATCCCAGCACTTTGGGAGGCTAAGGTGAGTGGATCACTTGAGGTCAGGAGTTCAACTAACCTGGCTAACATGGTGAAATCCCATCTCTACTAAAAATATGAAAAATTTGCTGCTTGTGGTGGCGGGCAGCTGTAATCCCAGCTACTTGGGAGGCCGAGGCAGGAGAGTGGCTTGAATCTGGGAGGTGGACATTGCAGTGAGCCTAGATAGTGCCACTGTACTCCAGCCTGGGCAACAAGAGCGAAACTTCGTCTCAAAAAACAAAAAGAAAGAAATGGAGTCTCATCGTGTTGCCCAGGCTTGTCAAACTCTTGCCCTCCCAAAGTTCTGAGATTACAGGAGTGAGCCACTGCACTTGGCCTACATTAACTTTTTTTTTTTTTTTTCTTTGAGACAAGATCTCACTCTATCACCCAGGGTGGAGTGCAGTGGCACCATCTCAGCCCAGGTTTAAGCAATTCTCATGCTTTGGCCTCCAAGTAACTGGGACTACAGGCGTGCACCACCACGCCTGAGTAATTTTTGTATTTCTAGTAGAGGCGGGCTTTTGCCATGTTGCTGAGGCTGATCTCAAACTCCTGATAAGTGATCCACCTGCCTCAGCTTCCCAAAATCCTGGGATTACAGGCCTGAACCACCACACCTGGCCCTATTAATTTTTTGTGTTAAATTTTCTTTGCATTTCTGGGATAAATCCAATTAGGACATCATATATTATCTTGTTTATATACTGCTGGGTTTGGTTTGCTTGTATTTTGAGCAAGGTGTTAGCATCTATGCTCGTAAGTGACGTTAACCTTTAACTTTTCCTTCTCATACTATGTTTGGCTGGTTTGGAATTAAGATTTTACTAAACTCACTGACTGAATTGGCAGTATTTCTTTTTTAATATCTATGAAAGGCAACATAAAATCGGAATTGATGCTTTCTTTAATGTTTGATAGAACATTCCTGTAAAACGTTCTGAGTCTGGTATCATCTTTGTAGGAAGATTTTAAATTACTGATTTAATTTGTGTTAATGACTGTAGATAAATAGACCATATATCCTGGTTTGCTTGGGCTAGTGCCAGGTTATAGCTATTTTTTATTTTTTTATTTTTTTGAGACGGAGTTTCGCTCTTGTTACCCAGGCTGGAGTGCAATGGCGCGATCTCGGCTCACCGCAACCTCCGCCTCCTGGGTTCAGGCAATTCTCCTGCCTCAGCCTCCTGAGTAGCTGGGATTATAGGCACGCACCACCATGCCCAGCTAATCTTTTGTATTTTTAGTAGAGACGGGGTTTCACCATGTTGACCAGGTTGGTCTCGATCTCTCGAACTTGTGATCCACCCGCCTCGGCCTCCCAAGGTGCTGGGATTACAGGCTTGAGCCACCGCGCCCGGCGGGTTATAGCTATTATCCTGGCATATTTATAAATAGCATTCCTTTCACTTTTAAAGATATACTGGTTTGGATAATAATAAGTAGAGTTATTCTATGTATAGGACTACTGAGGCTTTTCTTTCTTCTTGAGTTAGTTTTTGGTAAATTATGTTTTTCTATAATATCATCTAATTTTTTTTTTTTTTTTTTGAGATGGAGTTTTACTTTTGTCACCCTGGCTAGAGGGCAGTGGTACTATCTCAGTTCACTGCAACCTCCAACTCCCAGGTACAAGCGACTCCCCTGCCTCAGCCTCCTGAGTAGCTGGGTTACAAGTGTGCACCACCATGCCCAGCTAATTTTTGTATTTTTTGTAGAGACGGGGTTTTGCCATGTTGGCCAGGCTGATCTCGAACTCATGACCTCAGGTGATCTGCTTGCCTCAGCCTCCCAAAGTTCTGGGATTACAGACATGAGCCATTGTGCCCGGCCATCACCTGAAATTCTAAAATCCCAGCTGGGAATGGTCCTTAGAGATGAGTGGGTGTAATTCCTACTGATTCCCATGGGGCTTTTCTAGGTGGTGGTGAAGCAACTCAAGCCAGATTCTCATCCCATAACTGGGTTGTTTTTGAGGTCTTAACTATGTTCCTGGGGCTGGTCTCAAACTCCTGGGCTTAAGTGATCCTCTCATTTTGGCCTCCTGAGTAGCCGGGACCACAGGCGTGTGCCACTGTGCCTGGCTCCTTCCTGGTTTTGAGCTCCCACTTTGGCTTTAAGCTGTTTGGTAAAGTAGGTAAAATTGATTGTAATGGCCTCTTAAATGAGGGAGGAGGCCATTATAACTTACCCATTACCCAGCCCAATCCTTGTCCCCTTGCTGGTTTTGCTCCCAGTTTACCTTTTCTACCCAGAGGACTCACACCATTTCCCACTACCCAGGTCTTCACTCTGCCACCTGCTTCCTACCGCACATTAGTTTTCTTATTTCTCTGTTCCTGAGTAGATTCTGCATGCTTGTTAAGGTGCCAACTAGTTAATCTGATAAACTAATTCCTCCAAAAGTACTAACTGGAGACGGTGCAAAGGTTGCTGCTTCATACAAAGGTGCATTATGATATGGGTCCTTCCAGAGAAAATACCCTGCCCTTTGAGTCCTGGTCTGTGGGAGGAAGAGATGGAACAGCATGCAAGCTAGGAAGTCAGAAGAGTGTTAGATCATCAGCCTCCTCTGTCAAAGGAGACAGGTCCTTTCTGTGCATCCCTCGTGTAGGCTGGGAGGGGACAGACAGGGATACTGGCAGGGATGTGGCAGGAACATTTGATAATATCTTTCTTTCTTTTCTTTCTTTTCTTTTTTTTTTTGAGACGGAGTGCAATGGCGCGATCTCGGCTCACCGCAACCTCCGCCTCCTGGGTTCAGGCAATTCTCCTGCCTCAGCCTCCTGAGTAGCTGGGATTACAGGCACACGCCACCACGCCCAGCTGATTTTTTGTATTTTTAGTAGAGACGGGGTTTCACCATGTCGACCAGGATGGTCTCGAACTCTCGACCTCGTGATCCACCCGCCTCGGCCTCCCAAAGTGCTGGGATTACAGGCTTGAGCCACCGCGCCCAGCTCTTTTTTTTTTTTTTTTTTTTTTGAGACAGAGTCTTACACTGTCGCCTGGGCTGGAGTACAGTGGCATGATCTCGACTCACAGCAACCTATGCCTCCTGGGTTCAAGCGATTCTCCTGGCTCAGCCTTGGAGTAGCTGGGATTATAGGCACCTGCCATCACGCCCAGCTAATTGTGTATATTTTTAGTAGAGACAGGGTTTTACCATGTTGGCCAGGCTGATCTCAAACTCCTGACCTCGTGACTGGCCCACCTCAGCCTCTCAAAGTGCTGGGATTATAGGCATGAACCACTGTGCCTGGTCGATAATACCTTTCTAGGTGTAGAACTAGTTGCTGGACGGGGTGGCAGCAGGATATAAAAATGGGTAAGATTTGTGCTCACTTCAGCAGCACATATATTAAATTGGAATGATACAGAGAAGATTAGCATGGTGCCTGTGCAAGGATGACACGTAAATTCATGAAGCGTTAAAGAAGTATTTTTAATAATGAAAAAGAAAAATTGGTAAGATTTGTCCCTGCCTTCAGGGTTTGAGGGAAATGTTATACACAGGTAATAAATATACTGTAAACTATGATAAATGCTAGGAGAGACGTAACTGAGACTGCAGATAAAGGAGAACAATGTATTAAAACTGGAAGTTTTGAAAGGCTCCATAGCCATGTGCGGTGGCTCACACCTGTAATCCCAGCACTTTGGGAGGTTAAGGCAGGCAGATCACCTGAGGTCAGAGTTCGAGACCAGCCTGACCAATATGGAGAAACCTTGTCTCTGCTAAAAATCCAAAATTAGCCGGGCATGATGGTACATGTCTGTAATCCCAGCTACTCGGGAGACTGAGGCAGGAGAATCACTTGAATCTAGGAGTTGGAGGTTTCGGTTAGCTGAGATTGAGCCACTGCACTCCAGCCTGGGCAACAAGAGGGAAATTCCATCTCAAAGAAAGAAAGAAAGGCTCTTTAGAAAGGCCGGTGGCAGCCTTAGACCCACATGTGAGGAAGATTTTTACAAAATATAAATATATCAGGCCAGGCATGGTGGCTCATGCCTGTAATCCCAACACTTTGGGAGGCCAATGCAGGCAGACCACTTGAGGTCAGGAGTTTGAGACCAGCCTGGGCAACATGGTGAAACCCCATCTCTACTGAAAATATGAAAATTAGTCGGGCATGGTGGTGCATGCCTGTAATCCCAGCTACTTGGGAGGCTGAGGCAGAGAATAGCTTGAACCTGGGAAGTAGAGTTGCAGTGAGCCAAGATCATGCCAGTGCACTCCAACCTGGGTGACAAGAGAGAAAGTCCATCTCAAAAAAATGAAAAAAAAAAAAAGAATATATGTATAAGCAGATTTTCTGCTAATACTAGAAACTCTACAAATAATAGAATACAGAAAGAAAAGAAAATCCCCTAAAGTCTTCCTTTTTCTTTTTTTCTTTTTCTTTTTCTTCTTCTTCTTTTTTTTTAAATAATAATTGATAAAATGGGGTTTCACCATGTTGGCCAGGCTGGTCTTGAACTCCTAACCTCAGGTGATCCACCCGCCTTGGCCTCACAAAGTGCTGAGATTACAGGCTGGAGCCACCACACCCAGCCTAAAGTTAATTATTTTCTTCCGTTTTTTTTTTTTTTTTTTTTTTTTTTCCAAGACAGGGTTTCACCATATTGGTCAGGCTGGTCTCAAACTCCTAACCTCAGGTGATCTGCCTGCCTCAGCCTCCCAAAGTGCTGGGATTACAGGCATGAGCCACTGCGCTGGGCTGAAGTCTTCCTATTCAAGGCAACTTGATAGGATTTGGGGAGATTTCTGTTCTCTGCACATTAATGTCTTTTTTTCTTTTTTCTTTTTTCTTTTTTTTTGAGAGTTTCGCTCTTGTTACCCAGGCTGGAGTGCAATGGCGCGATCTCGGCTCACCACAACATCTGCTTCCTGGGTTCAAGCAATTCTCCTGCCTCAGCCTCCCGAGTAGCTGGGATTACAGGCACGTGCCAGCATGCCCAGCTAATTTTTGTATTTTTAGTAGAAATGGGGTTTCACCATGTTAACTAGGATGGTCTCCCTCTCTTGACCTCGTGATCCACCCGCCTCAGCCTCCCAAAGTGCTGGGATTATAGGCGTGAGCCACCGCGCCCGGCCTAATGTCTTTTAAATTTTTTTAATTAACATTTTTACATTTATAACTTAACATTTTTAATATTATTAAAAAGAAATAGAGGGCTGGGCGCGGTGGCTGAAGCCTGTAATCCCAGCACTTTGGGAGGCCGAGGCGGGCGGATCACGAGGTCGAAAGATCGAGACCATCCTGGTCAACATGGTGAAACCCCGTCTCTACTAAAAATACAAAAAACTAGCTGGGCATGGTGGTGCGTGCCTGTAATCCCAGCTACTCAGGAGGCTGAGGCAGGAGAATTGCCTGAGCCCAGGGGGCGGAGGTTGCGGTGAGCCGAGATCGCGCCATTGCACTGCAGCCTGGGTAACAAGAGCGAAACTCCGTCTCAAAAAAAAAAAAAAAAAGAAAAAGAAAAAAAAAAAAAAAGAAATAGAAATGGGGTCTCACTATGTTGGCCAGGTTGGTCTGGAACTCTTGACTGCAAACAATTTTGCCTCGGCCTCCCAAAGAGTTAGGATTGCAGGCATGAACCACCATGCCCAGGCCGTTTATATATTTTTATGTCTCGTGTTTTAGAATAAAAAAACACACATTTATTAAAACAAATTTTAATGCCCAAAGACAACTCAGTGCTAACATTTTAGGGTATTGTTCTCCTAGTGTTTTTGCAATACACAATGTTATCATCCCATTTCTACAGTTGTATCTACTGCTTTTTTCAACTTCTCAGCATTTGACCTGTTTATTATAAATACTTCATAAATATAACTGAGTGGTTGTGGGATGTAGTTCATATATCCATTTCCCTCCCATTGGACTGTAAGGTTGTTTATAATTTTTTTGCTATAATAAGTAACCATTTGTATGTTCTTACGCATAAATAATTTTTTTTTTTTTTTTTTTTTTTTTCCTGAGGCGGAGTTTCGTTCTTGTTACCCAGGCTGGAGTGCAATGGCGCGATCTTGGCTCACCACAACCTCCGCCTCCTGGGTTCAGGCAATTCTCCTGCCTCAGCCTCCTGAGTAGCTGGGATTACAGGCACGCGCCACCATGCCCAGCTAATTTTTTGTATTTTTAGTAGAGACGGGGTTTCACCATGTTGACCAGGATGGTCTCGATCTCTTGACCTCGTGATCCGCCCACTTCGGCCTCCCAAAGTGCTGGGATTACAGGCTTGAGCCACCGCGCCCGGCTAAATAAAATTTTTAACTAATACATTTTTTAGAGCAGATTTGGGTTCACAGCAAAGTTGAGCTGTAAAAGTACAGAGTTCCCGTATAATTCCTATCCCCACACATGCAGAGACTCTCTCAGTACTGACACCCTGCACCCTAATGATATATTTGTTACATGTGATGAACCTACTTTGACATTTTATCACCAAAAGGCCAGCATTTACCTTAGGGTTCACTTTTGGTGGTGTCCATTTTTTGGTTTTTGACAAACATATGACATGTATCCACCATTACAGTAATGTACAGAATATTTTCACTACCCTAAAAATCCTCTGTGCTCTTCCTGTTCATCTCACCCTTTCCCCTAACTCCTGATCTTTCTTCTACTTCCATAGTATACTTTTCCAGAATGTCATCTACAGTCATACATCACTTAATGAGGGGAGTGTGTTCTGATAAATGAGTTGTCAGGTGATTTTGTCATTGTGTGAACATCATCGAGTGTATCTACACAAACCTAGATGCCATAGCCTACTACACGCCTAGGCTATAGGGTGCAACCTATTGCTCCTGAGCTACAAACCTGTATAGCAGTTTACTGTACTGAATTCTGTAGGCAACTGTAACACAATGGCAAGTGTTTGTCTATCTAAAGGTAGAAAAGGTAGAGTAACAATAAGGTATTATAATCTCATAGGACCACTGTCATATATGCAGTCCATTGTTGACCAAAAACTATGTGGCATATGACTATTTGGAATCATATAGCATGCGGCTTTTTCAGATTGGCATTCTTCATTAGGTAATATGCATTTAAGTTCTCTCTCTGTCTTTTTATAGCTTGATAGCTCGTTTCTTTCTCTTTCTTTCTTTCTTTTTCTTTCTTTCTTTCTTCTTTCTTTCTTTCTTCTTTCTTTCTTTCCTTCCTTCCTTCCTTCATTCTTTCTTTCTTTCCTTCTTTCTTTCTTTTTTTAGGCAAGAGTCTCTCTCTGTTGCCCAGGCTGGAGTGCAGTTGCTTGATCTTGGCTCACTGTAACCTCCACCTCCCAGGTTCAAGTGATTCTCCTGCCTCAGCCTCCTGAGTAGCTGAGACTACAGGCACGCACCACCACACTTGGCTAATTTGTGTATTTTTAGTAGAAACAGCGTTTCACCATGTTGACCAGGCTAGTCTCGAACTCCTGACCTCCAGTGATCCACCTGCCTTGGCCTCCTAAAATGCTAGGATTACAAGTGTGAGCCACCATGCCCGGCTGATAACTCATTTCTTTTTACCATGGAATAATATTCCATTGTCTGGATGCACTAGTTTATTCCACATAATAATTATACATATGGGCCGGGCGCGGCGGCTCACGCCTGTAATCCCAGCACTGTGTGAGGCCAAGGCAGGTGGATTACGAGGTCAAGAGTCGAGGCCAGCCTAACCAACATATTAAAACCCTGCCTCTACTAAAAACACTAAAATTAGCCAGGCCCGGTGGCACCCATCTGTAGTCCCAGCTACTCAGGAGGCTGAGACAGGAGAATCACTTGAACCCAAGAGGCAGAGGATGGAGTGAGCCAAGATTGTGCCACTGCACTCCAGCCTGGGCAAAAGAGCAAGACTCCGTCTCAAAAAAATAATAATAATTTTAGGCCGGGTGCGGTGGCTCACGCCTATAATCCCAGCACTTTGGGAGGCCGAGACGGGTGGATCACGAGGTCAAGAGATCGAGACCATCCTGGTCAACATGGTGAAACCCTGTCTCTACTAAAAATACAAAAAATTAGCTGGGCATGGTGGCGCGTGCCTGTAATCCCAGCTGCTCAGGAGGCTGAGGCAGGAGAATCGCCTGAACCCAGGAGGCGGAGGTTGCGGTGAGCCGGGATCGCGCCGTTGCACTCCAGCCTGGGTAACAAGAGTGAAACTCCGTCTCAAAAAAAAAAAATCATAATAATAATAATGATAATAATAATTTTACATATTTATGGGGCACATAGTAATGTTTCAATATACCTAATGTGTAGTGATCAGGGTAGTTAGCATATCCATCATCTCAAACATTTATCATTTTATTTGTTTTGGGAGCATTTAGTCTCCTCCACCTAGCTATTTGGAACTATATATTACTATTGTTAACTGTAGTCATCCAACAGTGGTATAGAAAACTGGAACTTATTCCTCTTATCTAGCTGTAATTTTGTAACCTTTAA